TCCACAAACCTTTGCATTTTCTGCAAGTTACCCGTGATGGGTTCACCATTCTTCATCTTTGTTGTAATCATGGAGTAGATGATTTCATACCGCTCTTGACGAGCACTATGATGGTATCTTTCCATCAGGTCCTGGTGCATCTCAAAAGGGTAGAAGTTCTCATAGGACTTTTGGATTTCAGGAGACGTGGTGGCAAGTATGATACAAGCTACCTTAGTGGCATATTTCTCATGTGCACCAAAATAAGCAATCTCCTGGGGAGTAGCAGCAGACTCATCAATTTCCTTGAGCTCCTTGTCGAGGACATATTCCTTGTCCTCGTAGCGTGTGACCATCCTGATGTTCCTGATCCAATCATTGAAATTAGTCCCATCAAAGATGACTCTCCCACAAAGGTTCATGAGAGAGAAGGAGCCAGTAGGGTTTGATCCAGAAGCATTGTTGGAAGACATCTGAAAAGAAGAAAGACAAATTTTAGATTAGATATAGAGTCCTTAATATAACACCCAAAATGAAATATTAAGGCTAGGACCCACCACAATATTTTACAATTTGGAAGAGGGATGCCGTAATCCAAGCTGCAAAATATTTGAAGGTAGGTAAATGACGATTTACCAATTTCCACCATGAAAAACGAAATTGATTTATTAGGTTTTAGATTAATTGAAATTCCTAGATTCTTTTGAGACTCATTGAACTTTTCAATGGCATGTTTAAATCTCGATTATGCCCTTCAAGATTGTGACTTGGATACCGTGGATCACAAACAAGGTGTGAATAACCATGCAAATATACTTGGTACTCTTAATGTCATTTATCACCTAATCGATGTGCCGGATAACCACACACGCTCCATCGATCTATGACAAACATTAAGCTATCCTTTGGCACCCTTACTAGTCCAAGTTAATGTGCCGGTTAACCACACACGCTCCATCAACTACTTGGTAAGGTGCAAAGTGTAATTTCATGGATTAGCATCAATTTCACATTTTCCTAAAGTAACTAAAATTGGGAATTTATAAAAGGTTTAGTTACTTTATATTTATCATTATACTTTTAATGAGAATTATAGTCTTTGTCCTACCCGTTCGGCTAACGACCCTCCACCAGTCAAGGAAGCGGTGGGTGAGAGTGGACACCCATTAAACCACCATTTTATAGGCAGTAACATTATACCCCCCTTATAGACCGGCTTCGTGAATGAGGCCTACTAACGGTAAGATTGACTTGTTCTTATACATATATATTATTAAACTTATAATATTATAATAGTATAAGGGTTGAATTTGAAACTTTTAAAATTCTAGGGTTTGGAATTAAAGTATTAATTTTGTGACTTTACAAATTCCAAAACTTGAGGGCAAGTTTTGAAACTCTTCAAAACTTTTCAACTTCATAACATATGAGTTTAATGGTCTTTTAAAATGAGACTCTTCATTTTTCTATAACCTATGATTTTTAATGATTCATTTAAATGGAAAACTTTTGGAATTTCATAACTTGAGGACAATTTATGGAGTCCACTAAAATTATCAAGATCATCAATTAAACTAACAAGCATGTTCAAGTTCTTGATTAAACTCATATGAACAAGATAATTCAAATCAAACAAATTCCATGTAATTAGACTAATCATATAAACTAATACAAAACATGAAATTTTGACAATTATCTTTTGAATTGGATAAGCATAATCATTACCACATCAAAAACAGGTTTATAAGTTTAAAAACAGTTTAGGGTAATGATCCTAGTCCAATTACAGCCTTAAAACTCGAAAATCTGCACTCAGGGGCTCCGACTCGTCGAGTGTATGAACTAACTCGGCGAGTTGGGCTGTTTTGTGAAGGGACTCGGTGAGTCCACTGTCCAGACAACAAATTTTTGATTTTTAAAGCATTTTCAAGCAAGTAGCATCAAGTATAATTGAAAACAAGCATAGGTTCTGATACCACTGAAGGGTTATGCGCATTCTAACACTCCTAAGGTGTACATGCAACCCTAAATACATTGGATCTATGTTTTCTCTATTATACATGCAAACTTTCATTTTCCAAGGTATTACCCTAACTAGCATACAAAACTTTGATACTTGGGTAATAAAACAAGTTAGATAACATACCTTTTGTTGTAGCTTGTTGCTTGGAGCTTCAAGAGCCTAGCACCAATAATGTGAATGCCTCAAGTGGAATCACAAATCACCACTAACACTTGGAAACTTGGAAGAGGACTCTTTAGCTCACAAAAATCGGCCACACTCTTGCAAAGACTCTAGGTGCCATTTTCTTGAACCAAAGGGCTTCTTATATAGTGTGGTTACATTAGGGTCACACCATGTAAACCCTAATGTGCATGACTTTCCACATTCCTCATGATCCATGGGTTTTAACCTCCATGGAGTATCCATGGGTCACCACATGGGTTAAGCCCAACATAAGGAATCATGGATCATTAGCCCGCATTATAAGAATGAATGATTTACACAATCAATCCCTATATATTTAATTAGTCTCCTTTGACCACAAAATTAATTCCAAATTAATTCTTGATCAATACTAATTAAATAATATGATTTCATATTAATATATTATAACTTATAATATATTAATAAATCATACATATCCTCTTCTCAAAAGTCCAAATTGTTTCGGTGAAGTGCAACCCAAATGGACCATGCTAAATCGGGTCAAGTACATACCAAATATAGTTATAGACTTAGACACATTATCGAACAACATGTACAAAAAAATATAATCAATTGGTTACTAATTTTGTAATGACTTATAAAAACACTATTGCCGAATATGAATCTTGGAAATAGAAAAAGACAAGCAGATGTATCTTAAATTTTTGATCGAGTTGATTCGTTTGGTATGCTAATTTAAGCTTTTATCGGTAAAGAAGTATTGTGTTTGTTTGATTTCATTATTTGCATTATGGAAATATTAATATCATGATCCTTAATACACACATTTTCCAAAATGCTAAAATGGATCCTAATATTACACTTGATGTTATTAAGTCAACATCTTAATTTCGTTTCTTTCTCATTACAACATTATACTTTTGAAAAATCTAATCAATTATATTTATAGCAACTTTTTTCTCATATATAAAGCAATTTCATCTCTATAATTTGGTTAATTTTTAAAGTATAATGTCTGAAGAAGTAAAAATGAAACTGCAAGCTATAATTGGGTAGATATTTACATATTACAAGCACAATTCCTTGGTAAGAGAAAATACATCAGAGTACATTGATATTTTTTATATTTAGTTGACAAATTTACTGATGCTGGAAAATAACATTGAAATTACTTCAAATTTATTTGTTTTTATACTTTATATCCCAACGGCTATATGATGTAACAATTTTTGGATGGGATGATGACAGGTAAAGTTGTGTCCACCACTTTTTTTTGGATAAGTGCAACAATTTTTGGATGGTATGATCCTTATTCATTTGAATGTTTATGGCTCTTGGTATGATGTTTTGATGTTTTTTTTAGTAATAATAAGAATAAAGTGCAATATGGTCTAGCTTCAATTTAAAATAATGGTAGTTCGGGAAACTGTTCCCAAAAGACTTTTTTTTTTTTTTTAAACATAAAGAAAAAAATATGCTTCTAACCTGGGACTAGAAAACATGTTTTATGTAATCAGTTCAATGTAACTCAACAAAATCTTCCCGTTTTGTCAATTTGTTCGGCACATCCAATCCCGCAAAGCCGGATTCTTCCCTAGTTTATTTTAACTAATACTATATATGATACCATATAACCATATCAATAATAAAATAAAATATGCCAAGTTATGATTATGTTTTCTTAGGTTTTGCATTTTTAATTTTTTTAGATTTGTTTTCTTTATTTTTTGGTGGATTTTATAAAAAAATATAACTTTGCTAGATATGATTATTATCACTTGTCATGGCTATTTATTTCCAATAATAATCCATACAAAAAAACTATACCATAACTTTAGATTTGGTCCTAAATTTGGAGCCCCTTACTCTTGGAAGTCTCGTGCACCACCCACATATCCCCTAAACCCGCCATTGGGTCGGTCAAGCATCACTAATTCGTTTACGTTTTCCTTTAAAATTGAGATGCCTAATGGTTGTCATTTCAAAAGGTCAAATATGTGATGTAATATTGAAAAATATAAAATTTTGGGATAAGAGCACAAATTCACGTCTTTTAAAATCTTAGACGTAAAAACTTACTTTTATTTGAAAACCTAGACATTGTTTCCAAATGTTGGTGTATATAATCATTTATAGTAATTTTAATATGATAAGAAAAAGATGTTCATTCCAAAATAGAAATTTCCTTAAACGTCATGATCAAGTTTCTTACCATATAGAATCTAAATATATGTCATCATAATATTATTTGGTTGTAAAACTATAAAATAATTGGTTTACTATGTAGAGTAACATATGTCACTTCCAGATGGTTTTGTAAAGATGTAAATGTAAATAGAAATTCTACTATTTTCTGTTTTTATCCATCTTTTTACTCATTAGATCAAACAAATATTAAAATAAAAAATAAATTAATAAATTTGTCATTAATTTATATGAATAAAAGAATAAATATAAATAAAAGATATATGAATATCTAATTTATCAAACGTAAATCACCCATTATTATATTTGTTGTTTATGAAAGTAAATTTGGGGATAAAAACATGCAACTCTATGCTAGATATAAGATATATATTTGAATATTATGCTAATATCAAAATAGTTTTAATAAATCATACGGCAAACAAAACATTTATCTTTATGGATGAAAAATAAGAGTTTCCCATTTAAAAAACTTATGGAATACTTTGAAGGCTTTCCATAATCCACATTGAAGAGTAGAAGCCATCACTCGTCTTACTTCTAATCAAAGCTCTCTCCAGATCTCCCGCTATATATATTAACTCCATAGCCGATGCAAATAAGATCAATCAGATAACCCATAAATCACACTCAAACACCTTAAGAAATGGCTACCAACACAATAAAAACCAAGACACTTTCTGGCGTCGGAAACCTCATAAAGCTCCTGCCAACCGGCACCGTTTTCACCTTCCAATTCCTCAACCCTGTCTTAACCAACGGTGGCCACTGCACCACCGTCAACAAGTACCTCTCCTCCATCCTCATCACCCTCTGCGGTCTCTCCTGCATATTCTCTTCCTTCACCGACAGCTACGAAGATGATGACGGAACCACCCACTACGGAATTGCTACCACTAACGGCCTCTGGCCGACTCCGCCATCATCCTCGGGCGTTGATGTTTCTAAGTACAGGCTTCGAATCGGAGACTTTGTGCATGCACTTTTCACGGTGGTTGTTTTTGCGGTGGTGGCGTTGTTGGATGACAACACGGTGGAGTGTTTGTACCCTGCGTTTGAGACGAACGAGAAAATGTTGATGATGGTGGTGCCGCCGGTGATCGGAGCTGTTTCGGGGACGTTGTTCATGGTGTTTCCTAATACACGTCATGGGATAGGGTACCCATCTGCAAGACAATCGAACAAGTGACAAATGCAAACTACGTGTAACAAATTAAGAAATTAAAACTGAAGGAAAAAAAGGTGATGGCGTAAGCTCTAGTTTTCTTCTTGAAATTCATGCTCAAAGAAATATGCATGTTGTTGTTTTATAAAATGTTTATCCTGTTTTGATTTTAAGCTTAATATTAATCATTTTTAATTGCAAAGTTTGATTTAATATTAAAAAAATCGTTGCACTTACTAACCTATGCACACACGTGCACGTGCACGTGCACGATAACACGATTTCACCCCATTTTTTTTCATGATGAGTAGTTATAACTTCTACAAGCCAGATACAAGCCGGCTGTTCTTTATTCATATTATATTATTTTATATAATGACTTTGAAACTAAAAATTTCACTAATATGAACTTATAAAATTAACTTTTGAAATCTTATTTTATTCACGCATATTATTTCAATCATTTTAATTCTATTTTATTTAAAACACTCAATTTACTTAAAAAAAACATTAAAAAAAAACAAAACAAAAAAAAAAAAAAAAAGTTCTAGTCATAATATGGGTGTTCCATGTAAGCATCTGATCATATCATTACTTTTTTAAGCTCTCCATTATTAACAACTAGTTCTTCGTAAGAGCATCCACAATCCATAGTTCAATGAGAAAGTTAAATGAGCTGGCATGTCTAATTGGCATTTAATGGATTAGACTCAATTATTGTAGGATGTCATGTTGGCATTCAATGGATATGGAGTTCAATGGCCATTGAACTCTTCAATGGAGAAAAAGAAACATTTTAACTATTAAATATATATTCCATTAAACTTGCATTGTAGGAAAATTAATGTAGAGTTGTATATTAAGTAAAAAATAATGATGTGTCAATCCATTAAACTCTAATAAGTTTAATGCATTGTGGATGCTCTAAACAACACTATCAATATTCATATGTATCTTAATTTGTAAAATATTTAGTGTATAATCACACATCATTACTTCAAAACACATACCATCCTTCATAACCATTATTTTTAATCATTACAAAAGGATATCATACCCCTCATCAATCTATTATTAAAAAATCTCTATCACCCTTTAAGAACATAAATCAAGATTTAACCCCTTTCATGTTATACACATTTCTTTTATAAAGTTACCCACCTTAAGATATTGCGGTTGGATCAATTCCAATTCTTGATGTTTCAATGTTTCTTCTAACTCCCAAATCTACCTTTTTTCACCTAATTAAGGGCAACTTGGTAGGTGCAAATGGGGCTTTCACCGAAGAAGATGAAGGGATGAATCTTACCAAACTATGACTTAAAGATGATCCACAAAGTAATCATAGACTAAAACATAATTTTTAGTTAAGTAGAGGGACGAAAAGCTTAATTCAGTCTTATACAAAAAAACAAAAACCCAAATATCTCACATTTAGAGAAAACTTTAGAAAATAGTCCATAGACTATCTATCAACGTGCAATGTTAGTCCCTTAACAAGTTTTGTTACCCTATCAGCATAATTCTAACTAATAAGTTATTATAACAATCAAGTTTCCCTACACTAATCTGTGTCAACTTAGCAATAGTATATTTTTATCTTTCAGAAAATGAACATCTTTTTTCCAAAACGAATATAACGAAAATACTGGTGTCATTGAAGTAGAGGCGTCTCCACATCACAATACTCCCTTCCAATTTCGTCTTCTTCTTTTTGTAAAAATCCCTCTTTTCCTTTAGCCCATAGAACAAAGTACAACCCAGTAAACATCACAAACATACCTGTAAGGCGCTGTGTAAACAAGATAAAAACTTGATGAACAATCAAAACAAACGATCAATTATGTCTAGTGTTAGATCACTAAAGCACATGGTACAACTGTTTAATGCATGAGTATAGTATGATACCTTCCAATGGCAATGGAGTGACCTAAGAAACGAGAAATGACAACAGTGATGACAGTGCCAATGGGATTGAACATGGAAACCAAAACAGGACCTCTCTTCCTCATTGCGTATCCATTGAAGCTTACACAAAATCCAGATACTGTTCCAGCCTACTTGTTCCCAATATGATCAACGATGATTATATATATATATATATATATATATATATATATATATATATATATATATACTCGTTTATTTTTTTTATTAGAAAAGTACAAGTCATAGATATTTCAATATTCATATTTCATACCAATAAAGCATAGCACATAAGCTGTTTTAAACACCACACTTGCCATTCTTTTCCAATTTCCTGATCTTGAATAAACTCAACCATCAAAGTTAGCATCACACCAATTAAAGATGTTAATGCACACAACGATATAGGCGTTGGCATATCCCTTAAAGTTATAGCCTACCAAAAAAAAACACATTTTTAGTGACACAATTTCTGTCGCGACCCATTTATCAGTTTTTATTATACCTGCAAGATGACATTGCTTGATAGAACTATAACAGCAGCAATGAGATACAAGCAACCGATAATATGGTCCCAATCGAAAATATAGAAGTGTTCAGTTGGTGGAGACAAGGCGTCGTGTGGGAAGATATCTTTAGCGACGGTTTTCCTTTTAGTACTTTGCATAATAGTCATTGTAATGGCCCCCACCACACATAAGAAAGTACCCACAATTTTGACCCTACTGTACGTGCATCTGAGGTTGACTTTTTCTAACCTGCATGCGTGTAATATTAAATAAAAAATTAAATTTGTAAAAAGATAAATTGCACCATTCATCAAATAAAAAGTAAAAGCGTGGAGTTGGACCTTGGACGTGTTATTCAAAGTTAGGGTTTTATGTAAGAGATCATAACGTATTTTTATTTAATTTCTGTTAAAATATTGCATTTTTAGTTTTTTTTTTCTTATTAGAATATTGTATTTTTTAAAAATATATTCAAAGATAATACTACCAAAATTATATATACATTTTTATTTCTTGCATTAAACGGTTTTGGCTATGATACATGTAAAACATTGCATCTCCAAATAACAAAAATAACAATTTTGTTGTTTCTTGCAATGGGTAACCAACAGCAGACACTAAATAGATGTTTTTGCACGTCTTGTGTTTATTTTTCAAATTTATGTTGATGATATATAATTACAACAAAAGAACTTCGAGTAACTTCTACAAATGCGATGAAATTCACCCATTCAAACTTAATTATCAAACTCATGAATATTTTTAAATATAAAAACTATGCATTACCTCAATCATTTCTTTTCAATACTATACAATTTGCTTTTTAGGTATTATTGTACATTTGTACTCGATGGACCTAGTAAACAAATTTTAGATTCTCATTACATGATGAGGTGGGTGTTCTCTGTAGCTTCCATGACAAAATTATTCAATTTTAACGTTGCTTCTACTCTTGATATCCGATATGACAGAATGAATTAACTTGTTGAAATCAAATCCAACGATTTAATATGAAACGTAAAATGTATAATTAAAAAAACAATCGACTTAAAGTGCATAATACTGTTGCTTTATAACTTTTACTTATCATTAACCATTGTAATTTAAAGTAAATGTTTTTCAGATCCACCATAAATTGAAAGTAAGTCAATACCTAAATGCCCAAGCGATGAGAAAAACGAGACCTGGTGCAAGATTTGGCATTGCTGTAGCCATGGATGCTGAAGTCAAGTTTATCCCCTTCAACATTAACGACTGAAACAACGTCACCCTAATAAGAACAGCGAAAATACAATCAAAAGAATAAATAATTAGGAGAATATAATTAAACCCAGAAATCCAACGTTCTCTCACCCTGAAAACGATATCAAAACCAACTGAACAGATAATTTCGGGCTCAATCGCTTCGGCCATGCTTTCCTGCAACATAAACATCAGAAAAATCTTTCACCTTTTGATATAAACTCAATCGAAAATCTTAAAAGACATGTAAATGGGTGGTTTCTAAAAGCTTTGGGTACCTTTCGAAGAAAAATGCAAGAGGGGAGAGGATAAGAAAGGTGATGAAATTGAGGGAGATGATATAAGGAGACTGAGGAAGGCCTTCAGACATGAGATATTTGTTCAAAATTGAGTTTCCGGCGTATATAAACTGGACTCCGATCAATCCACCGATTATTGTTGCGTCTTCGATGAATTCTGGTCTGCTCATTGTAAATGGTTCAGGTTTTAGAATGTTGGTGTGGATGGTTTTAGGCGATGAGATTGAAAAGGATTCATGGATTCTTCAGGTTTGATTAAGAGGCGAAACCCCTAATTTTTATCTTCTTGAATTCGTGTTGATTGATGAAGAATTGAATTAGAAGATTTGAAGTTATCGCGGGAAAAAATCGATAATGAATGAAATCAAAGAGACCTTTTTTATGTATTGATTTCAAATAAAAATAAGAACCTTTCAAAAAACAGGATTTGTAATGAAATTTGAAGCCCTTGTCTTGAATTCTTCTTTTGCAATGAATGATGTAGGCATATGTGTTGTATGTAGGGGAGGGGTTGTGGGATACGGGTGTTAATTTTTCATATGAACCCAATACGAAAACAAACCAGGTTTGGATTGAAATTTATGACCTGTCAATCCACTAAATAAATTGGTCGTGTTCGGGTTAGTAATTGGGTTTACGGGTCAACCTATCACCATGTATAATTTTTTTTAATGGTATTACCGTTTTAAAATAAGTTTCTCGGAGGTGGTTCACTGTGTAATATATTAGATTTAAGTTATGCGACTACACCTATCAGCCTATGCGTATTGCGTGCCCTAAATCAACTAGTCCTTACTATTATGCAAATAATATATGGGTTCATCTGTCAACCCACCTAACCCATATAATTAAACGGGTTAGAAGGGTTGCGTTCGAGTTGATGTTTCCAATTCGCCAACTGACGACACGAATAATTGGTGTACGAGTTGATGCATTTTGACCCGTCAACTCGAGTTTGCCACCCCTAGACCCAAATCTAATTTAATAATCGTATAAACATTAAATAAAACAAACATTTATAAATAATTAAAAAAAAAAAAACAAAAATAGACCAATGATATAGTAATTTCTATTAGAAAGATAGTCATGTTCAGCATTGAGCTTTTAAGAGCTTTTGTGAGGTTTTGACAAAAAAAACTTTAAAAAGAATGTGTATATAGTAGGTAGCAAAAGCTGTTAATTTTTATTTTATAAAAAAACTTTTAATTCAAAAAGTACTTCAAATAGTGTTAAAAAAAATAAAAAAAAAAAAAAAAACTTATGTTGCTTTTTTAACGGCAAACACAAATTCTTCTTATATTACTCATAAACTAATTTTCTCTAAATCCTGTCTTGAACCCATAACATTTAATTGAAAGGCACATTGTTACTAACACTTGATATACCACAATATACTATTGGGATACAAGCCTTTGGTAAAAAAAAAAAAAAAAAAAAAAAACTCCTACCTATTATAAAACATTTACTACATTACCCTTAACAAAATTAATCTTGCATTAATAGCTCTTATATAAATGTCATTTTATGTAATTATATACATTTCAAAAGCTTCTAACTATATTTTGGCCAATACATATATACAAATAAAAGTTACAGCTTTTATCCACCAACTAACAATTACAGTTTTCAGCTACCGGTTAACAACTACCAACAAGTTTTGACAAACAGGTCGATAGACCAAAATCATTCTTAATCATCAAAGTAAGGAAAAAAATTTGCAAAAGATTCATTTAGTGGCCAAAAACTGAAATAAGTACTAAACTGGAGGACCAAAGATGTAATTTAGATTTTAAAAAATGCTACATATTCCGATGAAATTAAATAATATAAGTTGTTATTTTATTATTCAGTGGCCAAAAACTGAAATAAGTACTAAACTGGAGGACCAAAGATGTAATTTAGATTTTAAAAAATGCTACATGATCCGATGAAATTAAATAATATAAGTTGTTATTTTATGAAGTATATCGTTGTTCACTTGTTCAATATAGGCAATGATACAACACAATCAGTGAAGGTGCCTTTGTTCAAATACTTATGAAGGTTTTTGCTAATATAACAAAAACTAATATACCAAATTATAAACATACCCAACACCAGTTTCTACAAAATCATTTCATCACAAGCAACCAATTCTCCCAAAGAGACGTCTTCAAATCTTGCTTTAAAGACACTTCTGACCTCCATGAAAATGACATCAACAGTAAGATGCCTAACAATGGCGACAAACCAAATGGGTACGATTTGGTGTACAAGATTCGAGAATGTACGAATTTGGGTCTCTACAACAGTGGCCAGCAGCTTCATTCCTACGTTTTGAGATATGGGTTCAACTCCGATGTATTCGTTTCATCAGCCCTCATCAATTTCTACGTTAAATTGGATCTAGTGAAAGATGCACATAAACTGTTTGATGAAATTCCTGAACCAGGTTTAGTTGCTTGGAACTCATTGATCACTGGGTATGTTCGTTCTGGGAAGTCCCGTATTGGTTTACATCTGTTTCTTCAGCTACAAAAGTCGACAATTTCTTCAGATTCATACTCGTTTACTGCTATTTTACCCGCTTGTGGACAGCTACATTTAGTACAATTAGGCAAATCGATTCACTCTAAAGTTATCAAATTTGGTATCCAACAGAACACTTTCATAGCAAATTGTTTGATCGATATGTATGGAAAATGTAATCATGTAGAAGATGCAATCAATATTTTCGATGAAACATGTTTCAAAGATACATTTTCTTGGAACTCGGTAATCGCTTCATGTGCTAGAAACCAAAGAATCGAACAAGCATTTCACTTTTTGCATCAAATGCCAAACCCCGACACAATATCATACAACGAAATCATCAATGGAATCGCACAATTCGGAAACATAGAACATGCAATCGAGATTCTATCAACGATTCCAAACCCTAATTCCTCTTCATGGAATTCAATTCTAACAAGTTATGTAAACCGAAATCATCCAAGAAACGCGATTGAATTCTTCTCCAAGATGCATTCGCACAACATAAAAATGGATGAATTCACATTTTCAAGCATTTTAAGTGGTGTAGCGCGTCTTGGTGCTTTCACATGGGGTATTTTGATCCATTGTTGTGTGGTGAAACACGGTTTAGATGAATCGGTAGTTATCGGGAGCAGTTTGATTGATATGTATGCGAAATGTGGGATGTTGAACACCGCGGAGTTTTTGTTTGAATTGTTACCCGATAAAAATTTAGTAACATGGAACGCGATGATATCGGGATTCGCGCATAACGAGAAATCCATCAAAGTATTTGAATTTTTTGAGAGATTGAAAGATGTAAAAGATTTAAAACCAGACGGGATCACGTTTTTGAATGTGTTATCGGCTTGTTGGCATGATAAGGCATCGTTAAAAGTTGCAAATCGGTGCTTTGAATCGATGATTTGTGATTATAAGATTGATCCAACGGTTGAGCATTGTAGTTGTTTGATTAAGGTTATGGGTTGTGAAGGGGAGATTTGGAGAGCTGAGGGGGTGATAAAGCGGTTAGGGTTTGAGTCAAGTGGGGAGGTGTGGAGGGCGGTGTTGGCGGCTTGTGCTGGTTGTGGGGATTTGGAAGTGGCGGAGATGGCGGCTAGGAAGGTGATTGATCTTAGAGGCGATATGGAGTTTGTTTATGTCATGATGTCGAATATTTATGCACAATTTGGGAAGTGGGAAGATGTGAGAGTAGTGAGGAAGGTGATGAGAGACAATAAGGTGATAAAAGAGGCTGGTTTTAGTTGGATTGACGTTTAAGATTTGATTTAAATAATGTATTTCCATTGATTTGTTTATTTCTTCATTTTATACTACCAAATCATAACAAATATACGTAGCTACTATTGGTAAAGAAATAAAGTAGAGAAACAAAGTCAAAACACATGCAACATAATTGAAAGTAGAACTAAAGAAGAATAGGAAAAGATAGTGAATTTGTTGGTGCTATTTTGTAAAGTTTGAAGCATCTTTTTATGAATTACAGAACAATGAGGATGAATTACAGAACCTGTCTTCTTGTTTTCTCAGTCCAAATGTCTGCTAACAGGTCACCTTGGAACCGATAAACCCAGCTCTAATCCAAACAAATAAAACCCATATCAGATAATATTCTTTCTTCTACTTGAATTCAGTAAAAAAACATCATGCAAAAAAACTTTCTATCTAAATGGTTTTTCTTTTTTTTACTTCCTAATAAAAAGTTTATATATATACATATGATCCAAGTAGTAAAGTTGCATCTTATTATCATCATGAAGCAAAGCCCACCTCTAGAAACAGCATAATCTATCACGTTCCATCAAATTCATCTGAGGAAAACGAGAATAATCTCATGTTACTATCATTAACTTAAATTGTTTGTAGATTTAATTTAAATTAGTTCCAGAATTGGAAATCAGTCACACTCTGTATAGTTTACAAGCCAAATAAAACAAGCAATGAAGAAAAGAGTAATGGTTTTCGGAATCATTAAATGCATCATATATTAAAGAATCCGAGTAAAATTCCTTGGTATTATCATCATGATGTGGGCCCACCTCTACACACAGCAAATTCAATCACGATCCATCAAACGCATCTGGGAAAATGAGAATTCTTGTTACTTTTATACTCTAATTTCAGCTATATGCAACAAGTTAGACTCACAACTTTCACTAAAACTAATAAAATCATTCACAAATCTTCATATTTCAGCACATGCAGAATTTCTCCAATTTTCTATATTGTTATATTTGATAAAATTAGGTCTAATTTTATAAGCCTAAAAGTTTTAAGATGACAGAGGACTCATACTTGATATGATGACAGATCTTGTATATCTTTATGCAATGAGAAACTCATGTGCCTGCATTAACCAAACTTCCAGTCAGATACCTGATGCATGCATCTAGCCCAAGATCTAAACTAGGTGTGGTCTTTGAAGATTTTAATTACTTGTTTTTACTTTTTATATGATATGCAAGTGTTTATGTTCCTAATTGAATATCTAAACCAGATCCTTATTTACAATAACAAAACAGTTTAAAGACATGTTGGCATGAAAGCATTCACCTCTACAAGAAAACAGTAGAAGAATTAAACAAGATATGAATGAACACATAAGGCTTGTAGTTGTATATCATCACATGGGAGGAGTTGTGACTCACAGTCAAATAACAAAAAACATATTAGAGGCCAGGAGAGGTACGGCAGAGTGTACCCTGTGAAAGAGATCTGCAACTCCTTGAAGTTGTGCTCAGGCAGGATGTCAGTCTTGCTGCAGCGACAGCATTATGTAGAGGTAACAGAGACTGAACACCTCCGAGTTCTGATGGACACCTATCAGATACATGATTGCAAATTCTTTAATATGTTATGAAACTTCTCAAGGTATCTTAGCTATATACAGTAAATTCAACAATAAAATGGTGCGATTCCTAATTAAAAGACAAAAGGAACACATACTACCGAAAATTAAACTTCCTGTTTTTGAATCGTATTCATATCAGTTGTAAATCGTAAATTGACATCAAATGGATATTTGTTTTAGAAAGAAAACACGTACCTTGACACTGAGAAGCGAGGAACCGGCGAGGTGGTAGACCTGGTTGGAAGAGGAAATTTTGGAGACGAAGGGGCAGATTTGGGCATGGAAGCCGTCTTGAAAGCGGATTTGAGATTTGCAATTGAAGCTTTGTTCATGAATCTGCTGCATCTTTGAAGCCATTGGCAATATCGCGGGATCGGAGATCTGATGGAAAATGTAAAAAATATCCAATCTAAATCAATCCAATTTTGATGGTCTGATAGGGTTTAGGGTTTTAGGGCAAGCGACAATTAAACTATCGGGTCGTGTCCCTTGTGGTTGAGTTACATGTTACCCGGATAAAATTTCACCCGGGCTGCTACCCGATTCTTTCACCTAAAAGAAAATGAACATATTTTTTCTTGTTTACAAAGGGTATTTAAAAAAGAGTCTTTCAACATATTCCTTTTATCAATTTGACTATTGAAAATTATTAATCTTTATTAAATTATTTTATTACTTTTAGCTACTTACATTCACATATTTGTTGGGTTCTACGACCACCTATTATCGACATATCAAAGTGTCTTCCAAACCCTTGATTTTTAGGGGTTTCTCCATATTTAAAGATTTTAACTCATGAATTAGGGCATACTCTTCAGCCTCCAATCCTTTGACGGGAAAATGTAGCCTCCATGCATGATTGAGAGCTTGTTTGCTTGATTTTGGGCTTGTTCTTTAGACTTTGGTAAAGCTTGAGGAATGAGGGAATCCATTTTGGTGCAAGGAAGCAAGGAGCAAGTTTGGATCCAATATCTTCTTCATATTTCTTAACTATTTTAGGCATAAAGTTCATACCTTGACATTTCTTCTTCTAGTTTCAAGTTTAAGATCATTTTTGAATGGTTTTGGTCCCTTCCATGGATGTTATTGGAGTTTAAGAAAGTTCAGGGCTTGTTGTGGCCCTCTAATGGTCTATAAGCTTCTAATGATTGATAAATAAGTCATGCTTGGAGTCACCTTGTGTCTATACACAACTTTTGGTCCCATTAAAGACTTAATGGACTTAGGGTTGTAGATCTTTGTAACATTCATACAATTCATGAAAAATTTAAACTTTTTAAAACCATCCCAAAAATAATCATCGTTTACAATTTAGTTTTCAAAACATGTTTAATATCAGAGTTTTCCCAAAATCATAAATCAAAACACGAGGAGGTGCACGATCACGCATTCGCCTTCCCGCAATCATCTGAGGTACCTGAAACATAACCCAAAACTGTAAGCCCAAAGCTTAGTGAGTTCCCCCAAAATGCCAACACAACACATAATCATAACAATAACATCAAACAGCATGCATACAGAGCCTTCAGTCTGACTGGGACACCCCACCGGCCTACATTCTACCTGGTACGCTCACAGAACCTACAGTATGACTGGTACGCCACACCGGGCCTTCAGCCTATTTGGAACGTTCTTCGGGCCTTCGACCTGACTGGTATGCCCCACTGGCATTCAGTCTATCCGGTACGCCCTGGATCTGTTGGCCTTCAGCACAAAGAAGGAACGCCTCAATCCAACCATACATAAACCGTGTTGATACACATATATAACAGACAAGCATACAAATAACCAGCCAATAAACAAACAGACAGATCTTAGAGATCACTAAGCATAGCATCATCCTATCTACCAGGATACAGATCTATCAGATCACTACAATACACAATCATACGATAAACCAAGATAACAATCCAAAGGGTCGGCCTTGGTTCCTTCGACCCATAAGTACAATGAGGAAAACTCACCTCGCAAACTGAACCAAACTGATAAGGCCCGACTCTGAATCTCAGCTCTCAAACCGATACCTATTTTGTAACACTCCCAATCAGGTAATTACCATTTGAAACCTTGAAATGAAAAAAAAAATAGCATAATGGTCCCTTAGTACGCGGGACGTACTCCAGGAGTACGCTTAGCGTACTAAGGATGAATGATCGCGGAGGGTGGCCGCATACGTTGGGCGTACCTAGAGGTACGTGGGGCGTACGCGACAAAAGAGCAAAACCCTAATTCTCGGACTTGACACCTATTTAAAAATCCTTAAGCCTCTTGGACCAAACCCTAATCAGCCTCCATAGCCTCATTTCGTCCTTTTACCCCAGAGTTTCCTTGTGAGAGTGTTATTGAGCTTAAAGAGTGTATTTGTGGCCATTTTAGAGCTTATTCAAGAAGAAGAAATTGCTAAGCATGCTTGGAGTGGCATTGGGCTTCAAGATACTGCATCTAGTTCACCTTGAGGAGTTTCTAGAGGTATAAAGTATTAATCTTGCTATCTTATTCATTAGATTGGGCTAGGGTTTGCTATATTGTCCCATTTGTGTTCATGGAACATCTCTTGGGAGTTTGAGCAACTCCATAGCTTAGGAAGAATAGATCTGAGGTCACTTAGCTCATTCATACCATAAAAATGCAGTCTTGATGAGTGTTTTGACCCCATGCATGAGTTAAGACCCATGGAAAGGTCTTAATGGGTTATAAGGGGTGTCGGGAACATATGGAGCATGCAAGGGCATAAAGTTGCCAACCTTATGCCTTAGAATGTCTTAATGGACTCAGATATAAAGCTTGACGCTTATATCCCAAGCATTAAAAACTTAATGGTCATTTATGCATGCCATACTAGTACGTCGCGCGCATGTAGCATGTACGCAGCGCGTACGGCTAAAGGAGCCAGTACGCTGAGCGTACTAGAGTGGTACGCAGGGCGTATGCACTCAGATGGGTTTGGGCTTGCTTTGGGCTTGTAAGCCCTGTGGGCCTTGATCAGTTTTGGGCCTGGTCATGTTTTGGGTTGGTGGTCCAATTTATCTGTTTTGGGCCATTGTAACACCGGGTTCATGGTATGATTTTATTTAAGTTCTTATCTTAATTTTGCCACGAACTCGGCGAGTCTGCGTCCCGACTCGCCGAGTAGCAGCTGGGTGGACACGGGATTTGAGCGGTGAACTCGGCGAGTCGATGCATGGACTCGGCGAGTCCACCTGTCTGGATGAAACTCTATTTTCAGACATTGCACCCTATTTTACCCATTCTAAAACACCCATTTCGTCCCATTCTCTTCCAGAAGAACTATAGAGCGAAACCCTAGCCCATTTTGATCCTTGTGAGTGATTTTGGCTTGGTGAAGGAAGTTTGAAGCTTAGAAGAAGAAGGAGGAAGTTGGAGGGTGCAAGGAAGTGTGGTAGATCCGAAATCTACCCTGGGAGAAGCTTCTAACCAGGTAAGAAAAGCTCCTTCTTGATCTTTAGTAAAATAGATTCCCTTTTTGTCCCTTATATGTGGTTTGCAAGCCCTTAAACCTCCCAAACTCCGTGTGTTTATGCCCTAGGAGCTTAGATTTATGGTTTGGAACCATTGCATGTCTCAGATTTGGCCAGAATGGGTGAAGAGTCGAAGGGTACTCGGCGAGTGCCAAAGTGCACTCGGCGAGTTCCATGAAGATGGCCTTAGACTCGGCGAGTTGGATAAACAACTCGGCGAGTCCTATGAAGATTGTCTGGTACTCGGCGAGTCGTTCTTCAAACTCGGCGAGTCCCTTGAATATAGCCTTGAACTCGACGAGTTGTTCTTCCAACTCGGCGAGTCATATGAACAGTCACTAGGATAAGAAGGGTTTAAGTGTAGGAGGTCCAACCCTCCGTAGTCGCACGTGGAATTAGCAATTTAACGTGTAGCTATAGTCCCAGAATCTCCAAATCTCCAAGGTTGATGTTCTGATGGAAGATTGGAGCAATTTGTGAGATCTGTTCGTCGGACTCGGAGAGTCCCCCCCCCCTTGGACTCGGCGAGTCCAGTCGCGGGTTTGTTAGTTGTCCCCGTCTAGCGAGTCAGGCTGACTCAGTGAGTGGGAACAGGGACCCGATGAGTCAGAGTCGGTCTAGACATAGAAGGACTCGGCGAGTCGCCATATGGACTCGGCGAGTCCAGTCAATCAGAAGGTTGACTTTGGACCAAGGAGTTGACTTTGACCAGTCATTTGACCTTAGGGGTATTTATGAGTACCTAATCCATGTTTACGGATTTATAGCCGGAGGGATTACCGGTGCGGCAGCCAGGCGTAGTCTGAGCAGGTTTTCGGCAGCTACTCTCGAGGTGAGTTTCCTTCCAGTAGGGACGGGTCTAAGGCACCAAGGCCGACCCGTATAGACGATATGTTAGTATCGGAGTGTGGGCGGAGCCCGTATCTCATAGCTGAGTTTGATTGTGTTATATGCCAGTATGATAGAATTGCTTATACTTGTTGTCTGTGTGATACTTGTATGTTATGGTTTAGTAGCGGAGCGTGGGCGAGGCCCGTATCTCCTAGCTAGTAGAGTGTGGGCGAGGCCCGTATCTATATGGGTGTGGGCGAGGCCCGTATCCCTTACCTATTCATTATATGATTGCATGGTATGTGGCATTATGGGGGAACTCACTAAGCTTCGTGCTTACGTTTTATAGTTTTGTTTTCAGGTACCTCTTCAGCTAGGGGAAAGGAGCCGGCGCGGTAGCGGCATATCACACACTCTCATGTTTCCGCACTGTGGATTTTCTGGGATGTACTCTGAATATTTTATTATGAACGTTTTATAACGATGTTTTATGTATTAACCTAATTTAAAAATGAAATTTTTAGTTTGTATTTTTGGGATGTTACAAGTTGGTATCAGAGCCATGGTTTGAGGGATTCGGACACACCTTCGGGGGTGTCTGGACTCAAATCGAGGGATTAAAAGATTTTTATAAAGAAATGATTTTCTAAAGACTAAGTAAAAGGGGTTTCTAAAAAGAAAAAGGTGTGTGATGTGCGCGACCGGCCGAGCTCAAGTAAGTTTTCCCCAAAGTACCCATACAAGTTTACGTTATGATTATCAATTTCAGTTTTAGTAGAACAGCATGCTAGAATAGGACTAAGGATCTAGGAATGATGCCTTATGTGCCTGCTTTATGTGTTTCGGCTTTTTGAGAATTGCATGCTAGTACAGATCAGTCAGTATGATAGCCAGAGTAGTATATACTTGATTATGTGTACTCAATGCCCGAATGCTGCTTGCTTTGTGCTATTAGGAGTTCTAGTCGTCTTTCACTAACTAGTGAACGAATATGCTAAGTTACATATTGCAAGGATTAAATAATTCCAGAAGGTTGGGTCTAGCCCTATTTCGCAGCTCTTGTTTGAGTCCAACCGTTGTAGGGTAGGACCTCTCATTCGAAGAATTATCTAGTCTGAGTAATATGTAATAGTATTCGCGAGCTAGTTAGGGAAAAGAAAGCAGGGACTTCTT